ATCCTTCCCTCGGAGCCTCATTTGTGTAGTATTGTTGTTGATTCATGTCAATAGGAACTTGAATTGTGTTTTTTTGGATCCATGCGAGTGTTTCACAGTTGTTCAAAGTTCTTCCTCTTTTCCTCATTTCACTTTGGTGTCGAGGTAAGGGAAACTAGAAATGGTCCTTTTGTTAAATTCAAATGAGTTGCATGTTGATTTAATCTTCATTTAATCACAATATGTTGCTAAGGTTAGGATCAAATGGGTAAAATCAAGTTGGTTGTTTGTGAAGCATGTGTGGTGTGAGAATTTGATGATTCTAATCAATTGGAGTTGCATGATGAAATTATGTAGTAAATGTGTTGACTCGTAGTGAATATATGTGGAATATTGCATGTTGGTCTTACTAAATTTCAGGTGAAGGAGAGGTTGATACATGTTCTACATTGGTGCAAAATGCTCATCATGCCGAGCATAGGATTGGTGGCACCGAGCATGAGGAGAGAGAATCGTCTCAGACTCTCAGGTTGAAATAGTGTTAGGCGTAATGTGAATGGCGTCAAGCGTGAGGAGAGAGAATCTTAGGTTGGCTTGGGGCTATGCGTGGAACTTCACTACATCAAACCAAAAGTCCCAAGGGCCTCTACCTAATCCATGCCAGTCATAGAATGTGTGGTGCCAAGTGTGAACGAGGCAAAGTACCCCCTATCTCGATGGCATCAGGCATTGGTTACTTAATAAAAACTAGTTGTTTAATTCCAAAATTTATGAACATGAGCATGGTAGATTAATCTATTGCATGTTTTAAGTTGCTAAATGATGATTATTCTATATACGTTGATATAGGATGATGTTCAGAGGTGATTGACAATTGAAAGTGAGTCAAGTTGTATGTTGTGTGGCTAAGTAACTGTGTTAAAAATGCTTTAAGCAAGAGGTTGTTATGTTGTTGAGCTGATGAATGTTGAGAATGTTTTAGACATTTAGACATTGTGTTGTTGAGTTGTGTTGATTAACATAGGACTAGAGGAAAGATTATTTTTAAAATTAGATATCTTATTTTGTGGATATTGTGTTGTAATGTTCTAAGAGACTAATTTGTTGAAAACTCTTCTTGGAAAGTTAACCCTTGAAAAGGATAGTTGAGTCTCTTCTATGACCTTAATTGGTATCGTATGTAGATAAGGTTAAGGCATACATGTATAAAACAATCACAATATAAGGGCAAGATCGAACTATATTGATTACAAGCGACCAAATTAAGTAAAATACAAAGTCAGGGCTTAGTCCCTAACTGAGTATTAGATGGGTATAGTATTTGGAAGGTAGTCAATGGGCTAATCCCATAAAAGACTTAGTTAAGTTAGTCAATGTCATTGTAGGCTCATACTCAAGTTGTTCTATCCTGATAGAAATACTAGACTTCTTACTTTAAGTGATGACATCCGAGAAACCAAATTGTGTTATAGATTGATATCCAAATTTATTGTTGATTTAGCAAGTATAAAAAGATCACCCTATATTGTCGTTTCAATAAGGTTAAACCATTTATGTGTTGTAAGAGATCTCCTAATTAAAATGCATGACGATACATATAGTTGTAATGTTGTGCATATGATGTGTTAATTGAATTGTGTTGTTCATATGGAGTGTTGAGATGTGAGAAAATGTGATGATATGTTGAAATCAATGTGTTGATGTTGTGTGGTTCAAGTCGATATGGTTTTGTAGTAGATTGAGTTGTTTATGTTGATAGTGTTGGTTGTGGTGTGATGTTAATTGTTGGTAGCGTTGAACGTGTTGTGGTGTTGATGTTGTTAATTATAAGATGAGATGATGTACCTTGTCAATATTTATTTTGTTGTATACGTTGATTTCTTTAACTTACCCTTACATATTTTTATGCAGTTGGATTGTGATGATCATATGCGGTATGAGAGTAAAGCAGAGAATCCAGGAATAGGTCTGAGGTGATGGACAAAGGAGGCCATCTAGCGAATCATGGAGTTGATGTCTCTTTTTTAGGCTACTTTTGGTAGTTATTGTATTGGAGTTACTTGACCAACAACTTAGAATGTATATTTTAGATTTACTGTATTATTGTACGTATACCGTGTATACTTAGTTGTTTTACTTTTATATGCATGATATATAGTACATATTCAAGTATTTGTAGATATATAATCATAAGGGCTTAGCTATTTTTTGCTACTTGTTGATAAGTTGTTAAATGTAGAGGCCATGATGGACCGTTACATTAGTCCTTCAAGTAATGCAATTGTATAATTTTAGTTTCTCAAGTATCGCAATTATATAATATTTGACCCATTTAAGTTACATATATCATAATTTTCATTTGTGTATTAGATGATATATATTTATTATTTCTAAAATTAATAATATATGTAACTTAAATAGGTAAAAATTGCATAATTGTGATCCTTGAGGTACTAAAATCACACAATTGCAATATTTAAGAAACTAAAATTGCTAAATTAAAATTTGAGAAACCAAAATTACACAATTGCAATATTTGATGGACTAAAATTGCACAATTAAATTTGAGAGACTAAAATAACACAACTGCAATAAGGATAAGAGATCAAAAACATATTTAAATCTAAATTTCTTATTAATTTCTTTTGAGTATATTAATCACTCTCCTAAATTATATATCAATATTTTTTTTTAATATAAACTTACCCATATGAATTCTTAAATTTAGGAGTGGCCACGGATCCAGATTAATCCGAAAAATTCGATGAATCCGTATCAATACAAACTAAAATTTAGATTGATTTGAATCACTGGTTCAATTTGGAATAAAAATCCAATAACTTCTAATTCAAACTAAAAAATTTAGATTGATTTGAATCATTGGTTCAATTTGGAATAAAAATCCAATGAGTTTTGACAAAATTACGAATTTTGATGTTGAAAATTTAATATAATTCAATCATATCAATTAATTATTATATATTATTTCTTTTTATATTTTTATAAAAATTTAGAGCTTACCAGTAAAAGAATTTGGACAAAAAAACTCAACCCAACTATTGAGTTATTCTTAATATTATAACACCTCATATGCTTGGCCAACGAAACTCACGCCTCATAAAAAATAAAAATAAATAAATAATACTTCAATCGGTACCAAAGTCCATACACACTTTTATAATTTTATACTTTTGTCTCCTTCACTTTGTTAGGCTTAGTGTTTAAGTGCAAGCATGCTACAACTACTCATGTTGCATGGTAATGAATATAAGACTGATTTAATTTTTTCAACATTTGATTTTTTTAATTTTTATTTTTTAAATAATAAATCTGATGATTTGATCATGCTATGATTGGTTCAGTGCGAATTGCCAAAAAAATAATAATAATAATAAGAGAAATCCAATCCAATTACATTTAATCGGATCAAATTAAAAAAAATAGCACAAAAACAATTCAAATTGATCCATATTCATCCCTACTTAAATTACATTAAAAGAAATACTTAAATTTTAAATTTAACTATAAATTGAAGTTTGAATACAGATTTATGAGAACTTCAAATCACTTGATTCATATTTTCTTTTTTAACTTTGTGCAACATAAATATTTTTAAAAAAAATAAAGAAAATATAAACATAAAAATGATAAAACAATTCAATATGTAACGATAAATTATAATCAATCTGGATAAAAAAAATTATAATCAATCAATTTTATAAAAACTATCTCTATATTAAGGTTTTAAAATTACAAAAGAGAACATATATGTCGATTTAAATATTTATTTACGTAATACATAAAATTAATTTAATTTTACATTAACATATTATACTTATTGATGTGTTATATCGATAAAAATTTCTCTCACAACATATTTAAAAGTTTTGCGTTATTTTAATTTATGTATTATTTATTGTATAAAACAATAATTATTTGGTATTTATAAAAAATATTACTTAAATCCTTCATTAATTAAAAATATCACCGATCTATATCTTTAGTCATATATATATAGTTCTTATGTTCAAACTTGTTGTCATTGCAATTCAATGTAATATTGTTATTTTAATTAAAGTTATATTATTTTAAACCTAAAGTCTTGTGCTATGTATCAAAGAAAATTTTCACATGCTTTGTTTGGAAGAAATATTTCATTTAAAATATTTTAAAAGAAATTAAAAATAATTACACAAAAGTTGAGGAAACTTGATGTTGAAAATGTTTGTAAATATGACATAAATATAGAGTAGTTGAAATGTTTATAATATACAAATATATAAGGTAATTGGTCAAATCGAACCATTCTATTAAAACAGTTCGGTTAATTTGACCCTTTTTATAAAATAAATCGGTTTAATTTTTTCTAAAAATGACTCAATTTCTTTTGTGCAATACATTCATCTGCTTTATACTTATATATGATTCGATTTTTTTAAGAAAAAAACCAAACTTAACCAAACAATTTTTAAAAAGTGGTTCAGTTTTTTTCTCCTTTTTCTCAAAATAGTTCGATTTTTATAATTCAATTTGATTTGGTTTTTAATCGGTTCTATTCGATTCAATTTTTTTTACTTTTGCAAACGCCTAGTAATTGGATGAATAGTTAGGAAATGGAAGACAAATATGTAATTTTACTTTGATGAATAGTATTTCTAGGAGTTGTACAGCAGATTAATGTAACTAGCCAAGATTCAATTCAATCTTAAGTTTCAAATGAGCCAGGCTGCCGGCTATTATTTTTTAGCCTTCTTCCTCTAACATAAATTTATACTGTAAGCTTCGGAGGATATGGTGTGTCACTAGGGATGTTTAGGGCCTTATTACTTAAGTTTTTATTATTATTTCAATTTACAAAACTACCACCAATCTATTTCCTAATTTCAACGACTTCAAAAGATGTGCATAGCAAACACATAAAACAAAAAACTTAAAAACGTAAATCTATCTTTGAATTTTTTGCAGTCAAAAGGAAAGCAACTAACTCCAATAAAATAGGAATTAGGAAGGAAGAACCTTACATGCTCAACAAGTGGTGTATTGGTAGTGGCAGGAACAACACAATTGCTCCTTATGTTGTCTTTAGCCCATTCACAAGCCATATATTTTGTAAGCTGATTGATTGCGGCTGAAAATAATATTGGACAGGAAACATTTAGTGCCCTTGATCACACCAGCATTTTACTCATCACAAGCAGGTTATTAAAACAAATTAGCATGAACCTGATCTCTCACCTTTACATGCTGCATAGACGGATCCAGTACCTACACTGACCACACCAGCAATAGATGAAATGAACACAATGCTTCCCATTCCAGATGCCTTTAGAAGAGGATATGCAAGTTGGCACAGATGGTAAGCAGAGTCTAAATTGACTGCCATCATCTGTGAATAGTCTTCAGCATTGTACTCAATGGTTGGTTTCCTATAGTTTACACCAACATTGTTCACCTAAGTCAAGTTAGAATGAACATATAAAAACTTAGCCTCTCACAAATGTAATTCCCTATTCTTTTGAGTGAAAAAGGGAGTTAAGACTTAATATTAGTTAACTAACATAAATGTTAAGCTTGCCATTGAAGAGGGAAGTGACTTCCTGAATGAGCTTCTCTCTGTGGGGTTGAGATGACACATCACAGACAGACCCAGAAACCAAAAACCCCTCACTGCGCCATTTTGTCAAACACCTATCGAGCTCAGTTTGGTTTCTGGAACAAGTGTGGACAGTGGCACCAAACCCACATAACTCCTCCACTATGGCATGCCTGAAATCAAACACAATTTCATAGGTTAACATTAACACAAAAAGATCAAACTTTGATAACCAAAAAACAATTGGATTTCAAAGAAATAGAGGGACTGACCCTATTCCGCGAGTTCCACCGGTGACAAGAGCAGTCATTCCATTAAGGGACCATCTCGGAGGTTTGTGAGTATTGTTCTCTGCATCTGCCATTTCTTGAATCAAAACTCACAACACAACTAGGCATATCCTACCATTGCTTGATATGTATTGAGCTCTTAAAACAACAGTTAAATGCTTTTAAAACTGGATTGTTATTGGAATCAATAAATAGTTTCTTTGTGAACTCACATTTATCGTAATTTTCCAAATACCAAACCAAACACTTTATAAATAGTTTTTGTAAAGTTAATAAAATTAGATTTAAATATATTTTAATCTTTTAAATTTAAGTTAATTTTATTTTTAGTCTTTCAAATTTAAATTTATTCTTTTTAATTTTTATAATTTTAAAAAATCTTGTTTTGAACTTCTACTCAAATTTTATTGAAAAATTTGGTAATATTCATATAAAATTTACTTATTGATATTTTTATTAGTGAAAATATCATATTAAACTCAATTAATGTTATATATTTGTCTTATTCTATCATTTTCATATATGTTATTGATGATCTAATGACTAATTTTTTTTTAAAATTACATGAACTAAAAAATAACAATTTTAAATTTGAGGGATAAAAATAAATTTATCTTAAATTTAATAAAATAAAAACATATTTAAGTTATAGAATTATTATATATCATAATTTCTAATTGGATAATTTGCTAAGAAAAAATTATAGGATCGGTGTCAAGACTATTTTTTCTAATTAAAATGAGATCAAAAGAATAATAATTAAAGATGTCTAATTCTTAAGTCAAAAATATGCGAAATTAGATAATTTATGGGCTAATTAAAATTTTAATTTTATTAATTTCAATTAGAAATACTTTTATATTATATTATATTTTATTAGACTTTAATATTAAAAATAAAAATAAAAAATAGTTGAAAATTATAATGACTTATCATGATCTTTTGCACTTAGTAGTTTAACAATTAGTAATAGAAAAACAAGTCACAACTACTAAGATAAAGTTTTATTTAATTAAAAATATATTATTCAATTTTACTTATTCAGCTACTAAGATAACATGTTAAAAAAAATATTATTCAATTTTAATTATATATAGAGGGGGGTTATAATTATACCGGTGTAACTTTTACTAAGTATTAACACTGCTCAATAATTTTATATTAATTATAAATTTTGTAAATCCAACCGTTAGATTGAAAGTTCATATCTATTAGATCATATATACAAAATTTTATATTAATCCAAGATGATTTGATACTTCATTTTTATAAAACAAAATTGACATAATATATTTATTTCAAAATACACTAAAATATGAACACTTTGATTACCTTCAAATTGTTGTTCAATTTTAACAAAATTTGATATACACGTATAAAGTGATATAAACTTTCAATCTAACGATTAGATTTACAAAATTCACAATTAATATAAAGTTATTGAACAGTGTAATACTTAGTAAAAGTTACACTAGTATAATTATAACCCCTCTCTCTATATAGAGAGATTATAATTACACCGGTGTAACTTTTACTAAGTATTACACCACTCAATAACTTTATATTAAATGTGAATTTTGTAAATCCAACCGTTAGATTGAAAGTTTATATCTCTTAGATCATATATACAAAATTTTATATTAATCTAAGATTATTTGATACTTCATTTTTATAAAACAAAATTAACGTAATATATTCATTTAAAAATACACTAAAATATGAATATTTTGATTACCTTCAAATTGTTGTTTAATTTTAATAAAATTTGATATATACTTATAAATATATATAGACTAGTATCAATTGACTTTGTCTCGGTATAACTTCGTATTATTATATTTTCCCTTTTTTTCAATAATTGTTCGACCTAATAGGAATAATGGAAAATGAGGTAAATGGAATACGCACACAATTATTGGAAAAAGGAGTAGGAAGAAGTAATATAATTAGGGATGGCAAAAATATTCGCACTCGCGGGTATTTATAAGTAAAATTCGCTATGGATAATAAATGAATAGGCTAATTGGGTACCCACAGATAATGGGGAAGGTGTGACACCCTTACTACCCCAACACATACATCATAATAATGTAATTAAATTAAGAAAAATAAACTTTAAAATTTGGTAAAAGGGTTCACATAAACTTCAAAAATCGTTCTTTAATAACCTTGAATATTAAAGATTTAGAAAATGAAACACAAAAGTTTACAAATTATTTTCAAAATGATATTTACAATTCCAAATCCATATAAAAATTCTTTCCTAAAAGTCCTCTGCCCCGATGTCACAATATCAGAGCATAACCCTTTCCCTTTAGAACTCAACACTATGAGTGCCTTCATCTTCACCTAAAAGAAAACCACATAAAAACAGGACGGTGAGAGATAGATAACATCATATATGAACATAGAGCTACCCAATTCCCACCCCACACCGTGCACCAAAATATCATCATTAAATATAAACAACAAATACATCTCATATAATTACCAAACATCATTTTTTTTT